CCCCCAGATGGACTTGTCGTTTCTTGTATTTAATTATCCCATTTTGTGGGTTCCTCTCGTTTGACTCATTATTATACCCATATGGGAGATTCTTATACCCCAAATTGTACAGACGCTTAAATAGAAACATTGATCAACATTTGTGGTTTGGGTCTTCAACTTTGACCCATAGCCGAGCGATGTCAAACTTCTTCGGACCTTCGGCGGTGTAGCGGGTGTAGCCCTAGTCTCCACCCTTTGGTGATTTTGTGTCGAAAGGTGAACCATACCACGCACGCAGCCTCAAGCTGTGAATCGGATCCAGGATTGAATGGTTCTATTCTACTCCCATCTTTTCGCTGTCCAAATCGGCCCATCTTTCATTTTGACTGGTTACGTACCAATTCGTGTTGGCGAACCCCTATTCTTCTGGGTGCATCCCAGTGAGTAAGTGGGCAGCGATATCATGCCTGATGTCATATCCAGTTCCTATACATATATGTAAGTGTATATGTATATGTATCTGTATATGTATATGTATATGCATATGTATATGTATATGTATGTATATATATATGTATATGTATGTATATATATATGATATAGAATATAATGTAATATAATATGATATGATATAATATAGTATAGTAAAGTATAATATAGTATAGTATAATATAATATGGTATAATATGGTATAGTATAATATAATTAGTATATCATGATATAATATAGTATAATATAATACAATACAATATACTATTATATAGTATAGTATGGTATAATAGAATATCGTATAATATAATATAGTATACTATAATATAAAATAATATTGTAAAGTAAAGTATAATATATTAGAATATAGTAAAGTGCAATATAATATAACATAGTATATTATAACATAATTAATATAATATTATATTATATAGTATAGTATAATAAAATATAATATGATATAATATAATATAGTAAAATATAATATAGTATAGTATAGTATAATATAGTATAGTATAGTATAGTATAATACAATATAATACAATACAATATAATACGATATAATACAATATAATACAATATAATATAATACAATATAATACAATATAATATAATGTAATATGATATAATATGATATAATATAATATAATATTATATAATATTATATTATACTATATTGTATTATCTTATATTATATTATATTATATTGTATTATATTATACCATATTATATTATATTATATCGTATTATATAATATATACATATCTCCACTTACACATGGATTTTAAATGGGTTATAAATCACTTACTACATGTGATGCACATCTACCTCCCATTACGTCTCCCGCATGATTTCTTCCATTTCAACAACTTTGTGGCTGGTTAGATACCCAATTCGCTTCCTGAAGACGGTATTCATAGTTTTGGTTGTGGACATTCCCAATTCTTGCCGTGTAGAAACCTCAAAAAACATTTTCTCGATGGTTTAGCAGTTGAGCCATCCTTTTCATGGCCTTTTTCGGATATTTTCCATATTTTCCATGCTTCCCCGGTGCTTCCCCCGTTCTTTTCATCGCCGGTTCCAGGGCCTGCTGGGAGAAGGAGCTCCACGAGGCCGAGCAGCGCTTGAGCGAGGAGTGCCTGGTGCGCCAATTTCCCAACGGCGTGAAACACGTCACGGTCTTTCTGGAGATCTCGCAGCAGATGGCGACTTGGCGCTGTTGGAGTGGTGTTGGAGTGGATGGGAAGGGATGGATGGATGGTGATTTTTCACCAGCAATGGTGATTAAATATGGTGATTTCAGCAACGATGGTATGGATGGATAGATTTCATCCATGGTGATTATTGATGGTAAATCAAGCAAGAAACAAATGGTGATTGATGGTGATTTAACCAGCAAACATGGTGCTATAAAGGGGATCTCAAAACTGAAAAGATTGGGTTTGGACTGTTCTTGGGGTGCAGGACTGGGGTTATTTTCATGATCACTACGGGATTCTGACCTCCAAAAGTTGATAAGTTGGGATATGGGGCGCCTACAACTATGATGAAACATAACCCACCAATGGAACTGCAATGAAAAGACCACTGTGAAGATCGAATGAAGCATCCAAAAACAGGAATGTTACCGTCAAGAAAAGGAAATCAATTATCACTTTGCATATGTTTTTTTTTTCAGGAACCAACAATTAATCGTCAAACATAGGGATTTGATTAGCCATCATGTATTGGACAAACCCAGAAGTTGGGTAAATCCCAGAATTAATATTGGAAGGAGCACGATGATGGTAGACTATTGCATTTTGGGGCACCCAATTTTTGGACACAGGTCACCCAAGCAGGGTGGCGGTGGTTGTTGGAAGGGTTCGGTTGTTGTTGGATTACTGTACTACTTGTGATGATCTGTCAATGAATGGAAACCTTTATTCACGGGGTTGAATTGATTAAACACTTATAGGAGGCTGTGGGTCGTTCCATTCAAATAGTACAGGGCTTACTGCAAACGTTCCCTTCAACCAAGCATTCGATCCAGTTCATGGCTATCAGTTCGGCAAATTAGTTGGCCATGTCTCAGATTCATTTCAGTCTCTGGGTCTCGCCACACCGCATTGACCGAATGAGGTGCTAATTTGGTGTTCTCAACGTTTCTTTCCCCTCTGGTGATCTCTTGATCATATTTTCTTGAGGTGTTTCTGGATCAATTCTTGGCTGAATCTTTGGAGGATTTCCAGCACGAAGGCTGATATCATATTTGCCATCTTACAAGGTGATGCCCCCACAGTTATGTTTGCTGATTTTTACACGCCATTCTATTGCCATATATGGCCATATATAGATATACCATGATATACCTGCCGCAAGCCTAGTGAAATATGAGTTATCAACCAACTTCGCCAACAAACATCACATCTAAATCCCAATTTTTGATTCCTAAAACCACTCAGTCTTGTTGGTAAGTCCCACGGTTCACAGGGGCACTACATGGCACTAGCATACTCCTAGCTGAAAACAGGTGCAACTGGACCTGGTTTGCCGACATCTGAAGACCGAACTCTGGCCACGCTTGGAACGTGCCGGGGCACAGTCTATGACGCTGAGCACCTTGGGTACCCTGGCGGATACCCCGGATTAGACGGATGGCAGTAGTTTGATCCATTTCAGCGGAACAACGAAAACAAACTGGGACGATGTTTCCAAGTTTGAAAGATGTTTTCAAGTTTGAAACACTTTTCCTTGTGAAGATGGGAGTTGCTTCTTACAGGTTCTAGTGACTCTACTGTTGAAGACTCCTCTGGGTAACTCATACTGAAAACTCCTTCGGGTTTGGGAAGCTAGCTTGAAATGTCTGATAAGACACCTCTGACGCTTGCAGTTGGGTCTGTCTATCCCTCATGTTGGTCATTTTCTCCGCACCAAGTTTCACCATCGGTACCAGGTACGGGCTCCCGGGCGCGATGGCGGGACCTGGAGGTGGAGTGCAGCCAGGAAGGGCGACAGCTCTTCGAGGAATTCCTGGACAAAGTCTGCCAGGAACGACCTGCTGCCGGCGGCCAAGGGAAGGCCATCTGCATGGCCAAGAGGTTGAGAAAGGTGGGACCTGGGGAGCTGGGGACCCGGTACCCCCCAAGAACTGGGCCAATCCCTACCGCGACAATCGGGACCATTGTCAAACAGCCATCAAGTATAATTGTTGGAGGAAAGATGAACAAATCTGACATGGCAGTTGACGTTTACCCTGGTAACCAGAGCTTGCAATGTGAAATCCCCAAGTGATATCCATCTATAGATGAGTTTACTATCAAGTTATTTTCCATTGCCAAGTTTGATCACCAAAGCCACTGAAAGCGGAGCCATGCAAAATGTCATCCCAGGATTCATACCAAAAATGGAGATTGTCCTGACCCCAAGAGTACTTCAAGGAACGGTATAGATGACTTCCCATCAACATTATATATAATTATATATATATATATTAATTAGAATTACTGTAGAATTCATTGGACATCTATGAATAAAGAGAATTCCATATTGCCAACCCCATTTTTTCAAATTCGGAAGCGCGGATTTTTAATGGCCCTACCAGGGTGATGTACCAGATTGCAATCCTTGATGTTTTTTGGGCTTTTTTTCTCAAACCATTGTTGGTGAACTTGGAGCTCCCTATAAATTTGCGAGTAAAATCCCGATTGGTTAGATTCCATCAACATCTCCGTAATCCCACCATCAAATCCCGACATTGCCATAGCCGCATAACATCCCCATAAATGGTGAACTGGTTAACCTTTTCGGTTAAACATGAATACGTAAGATATGGTTAACCATAAAAATCCCTATAAAATCCCCATAAAATGGTCAACAATGTTAAACACACCCCATCTTTACTGCTTCCGTTTCTTCGATGGCCATAGGCCATCGATGCGGATGCGCTGCTGGGCCGCGGCGCCGCGCTCTTTGTCTTGTGCTCCGTGCCGGCGGACGTGCCGCGGCGGCGATGATGTCGGGGATGAATTTTGGAGATGGTCATTAGAAACTGCTGATAGTTTTGGACATGGTCATTCTAGTCTCTGTAGAAACTGTTGATAGTTGTTGATAATTGTTGATAGTTCTTGAAACTCAGGTTAGCTCATTCAGATTCTCGCTGTACATGTTCGAATGTCCGCAGATGCGACTGTGCACTGTCAGAGCCGTTGTCGCCTCAGGCAGCGGAATGTGAGCAATTGCTGTGTGGCTCGGCCATGTGTTTGGATTCGATCCCCAAAGTCCTCAATGGTAGTCCCGGGTTGGGTTGCAACTGTTTTCAGGTACCAACTCAAATTTTCGTATTTTATAATCCAGTTGATTTTTTCTTGGATTTATATTTTTCCAGAGATGGCGGTGATTCCTTTTTCCTCACCTCCTTTTTTTTCTTAAAAGGATCACTCGACAGGTCGCGGACAGTTCACGCTGCAGATCACCGGTGTCCTGGGCGCCAGCTGTGAAGATCCTGAGATCTGCTACGAGCGCCTCATCGCTGCCGCGGCACCGGGCAGTGCGTTGCATCTCTGGTGTCGTGGTCGAATGCTGGTGGATCTGGTGGCGTTAAGCGTTGTTGGCAGGGCGTTGTTTCCAGGGGGTGACTTGGAATATGCTCTATGTAGAGTTCTGGAGTTATGGTGACTAATCATCTCTGAAAAATGGGATGATGATCCCAACTAAGACATGTGGCTTTTAATGGTGGATTTATAGCATTGTGTTTGATTGAATGGTGATTTATCGGGTTTTTGACCAGCAAAAACATGGGGTCCTAAACAACACACATATGTATGGGGATAGAATTCTTGACACTTTTCAAGTGGGCTTCACCCCTTTTTCAAGCAGTTTGCCGTCATTTTTGGACGTCTTTCTAAGATTTTAAGCCGGTGCCCAAAGTGATAGATATTTTGTGGCCAGGGAAACGCCCATGAGTTAAAGTGACAAAGCAGTTGAGCTCAAAGAAACTTCTTCAACGAGTGGCCAGTGTTCTTTTAACCATCCCCCACTTCATTGCATGGCATAGGTCATGTCCAACATTACTGGATATGTGTATATATATATATACATACATATGGATATACATGTACACCCATACATACACATATATATATATATATATACATGTAAATATATACATACATATGTATATGTACATATTTATGTGTAAATAACCCAACATATTCATACTATCCATGGTAGGATCATCTGGGACCATACTTTGTCGTCCCAGGTTCGGCGAGGACTACTGGAAGGCCTTCCGCGCAGCAAGAAGGCAGCAGCTGGAAAGCTTAAGCGGCGATGCGCAGGTGCAGGGCAGGGCGGGCTGGTTACATTCATGGATTGGGATGGAACCAGCAACAATGGAGAAACTTATGGAACGAAAATGGTGACTCAACCATAAAAAATAGTGATTTAAGTATCATTGTTCAATTGGGGATGGGTCAAAACCTGTGAATTTCCCATTTGACTGGGGGAATAAACATCCCTTCACCAAAGTTTTATGATAGGGTGCCAGAATTTTGACTCATAGGCATATACAATACCTCTGATTTCTAGGGAGATGTTCTAAGATCGATAACACAGTTGCTGAGCTTATTTTTCTAAATTCTAAGGAGGAATTTCGAGTACTTATCCTGAAGTCGCAAAGTCCGGTGTGGACGTATGTTGACGTTTTGAAGATTGGGGAACCCGCTTTGATGAGTTTCAGTTAACATCATCCCTATTGTCCTTTTTATTCACCTCCTTATTGTTTTTGTTTGTGTGATGCTATTACCACCCTTGTTTAGTAGTCACATTGCTTGCATCAACCCTGCATATTTGTCAACACGTAAAATCCTCTAAAATAGCTGGAATTATGTACTTTTCATATTCTTTTCATGACTTTTCGATATGTTTTGGTGCTTCATCCCAGGGATGTCTTTTCCAGCAGGATAGCCTGGCCTCGGATGGTGAGGTGGTCTCAGGTGCAAAGCGGCGAGACACCGTTGTTGATGATAGTCATGTTTTAAAAGGATGTAAATCAGCAAAATATGAGGATATAAGGTTAATGTAAGGTGAATATCACTGATTAATGATGGTTGATACAATTGAATACATTCTGGATAATCAATGATTGTTACGGTAGATGTGTTCATCATTTGTCCGAGATGACAATCTTGGGTATGTAATTCCAAGGAATTCTACATATGCACCCACAAATTTTGCTGAAATTATCCACGACAGTCTCCCAATAATGAGTCAAACCGTGCAAAATAAAACAGGGTTTTGGGAAGAGTCAATAAAATGTACAGTATCTTCATTTGTCCTTCATACATGAAAAATAATGAAGATGCCTATCTGCCTGCACAAGCACCAGGAGCCCACAAGATATTTTTAGCACCTGCACCTGCGGGAAGTTGAATTCCTGCAGCTGCAGTTGGTTGATTGTCAACCCTCCAAGTGTTGTATATTTTTGTTTCCTGGTACATCTGGTTCATTTCCTGCCGCATTGGTTGACATATTTTGACACACTTGGGCTTATGATTTTGGTCATCACCAACTTCAACATCATTGCTACATCTTCATTGAATTCATTTTTATTGGTTGATATCCCCACCATTCCCCATCAACTTTGATTGATCATTGTGCGCAGCCAAGTTTTGTTGGGCGGGGCACCTCACCAGGCGAAATGCTCGAGTTGCGCGTGTTGGAACGTTTGATGCGGGAATGCTATGTGGGGCGGCCCAGAGCCTGGTAGTTGGGTCATTTCCAGCGGAAGTCCTGCAGATGTTGATTCTAACAATAAGGCCCCAGTTGTAGATGGCTTACAATTGGTTATTTTCTCACATTGAACTGGCAGAGACCAGCCTCCGTAACCATGAGTCATTCAGCCCTACGGCCCTTTTCAGAGGTTCATGGGATAGCATCAGATATCAACCTCCGAAATGTACTCAAAGGATGGCATACATGCAGCGTGGAAGCCCCCCAAAGTCTGGACCATTCTTTTTTTTGCTTGAAATATGACTGTAAGTACTCCAGGACTTTAGGGTGCATGTTTTTTGTGGCTTCAAAAACTCAGGGAACCCGTAAAAGCTGGGTTCCCTTCAACAAACTCACCATTTTGGTCAAGTTTTGCTGCCTGACATGAGAACAGCTAGGTGGATGAACAGCGGTGCGAGGAGGAGTTGAAAATCATGAGCCAAGTGCTTGCGAAGGCGGCATGCCCGGCACCGGTCCATTTTCTCGTTCTTTTCCTTTTTGCGACCTCACAACCACCTATCCACGACCTATCCATGATGGTGTTAGGGTGAACCGCCCCAACATGGGCTAATGATGGCTAAAGTCTAATCCAAGGTTATGGATTGTTTATTGAATTGATCATGGGTGGGACTACTTCCAGTGGTCGTGGTGGGTTTTGAATGATTTTTGCCGTGTATGATCAGAACAAAGCACAAACAAACAACTTACCTGGCATTTTTCTACTAAACATCAACCATCCAATGTTTTTTTGCCTCAGCCGCTTGTGTGTTTTTGCCTCCCAGGGCTAAAAAGCGCAAGGCCTGCCCTACTTCATGCACTCTTTTTCCCATTTGATCATTGGTTATTTGCTTATAGCTTGGTTCAACGATTTCTTTGCTGGTGTTCAAATATCATTTGCACTGTGTCCATATATATATATAGACTGACTGATCTCTCCATTTATATGTATATGTTTAACGATTTTTAAACCTCATATTTATATATGACACACACACACCCGCACATAATATCATCTCCACATACAATATAAATAATTATAACTAGACATAATTTTCAATATATTTGCATATGAACACACGTAAACACGTCAGAATCAAATCATGTTCACATTTTTAACCACCTAAAATCACATTTCACATCATTTAAAGTAGTATAGAAATCGACAGTATCACCTATCACCTAACCACCTAAAATCACCTATCATCAGTAAACAACCACCCAAAACCAAGTGCCACACCCAAAATCAGTGCAGGAGCTCTGCGAGGCCCACGACGTCAAGGCGGTGCGGCAGAGCCCTCGAGGCTTTGCTCCGGCCGTGGCGGTGTCCAGCAGCAGCCTGCAGCTGGAGCCGGAGATCGTGCCGCACTCCGTGGGCCTAGGAGGGGAGGGGATGGTGGTTGGAAAAGATATGCAGGAATATAGCGGTATATATATATATATTTGATGTATAATATAATATAATATAATATAATAATATAATATAATATATAATATAATATAATAAAATATAATAATATATATATATATATTCCATACATACACACATACACACATACGTACGTACGTACATACATACCTACATACATACATACCTACATACATACATACGTACGTACGTACATACGTACGTACGTACGTACATACATACATACATACATACATACATTACCTACCTCCCTACCTCCCTACCTCCCTCCCTCCCTCCCTCCCTACCTACCTACCTACCTACCTACGTACCTACCTACCTACGTACCTACGTACGTACGTACGTACATACAGACAGACAGACATACATACATATATACATACATACATACATACATGCATGCATGCATGCATGCATGGCATACAGACACACACACATACACATATACACACATATACACACATATATATATAATATGTGGATATGTATTTGGATATGCAAAAAACACATCTACGTATATTTGAAACACATCGATGCTTGACGCTGAGGTTGGCACATTCTGAATTGCGGATATGTTTAACAGGAAATGATGATAATTAAATGTTTTTTTTGGGAATGATATGGATTGGGTTGGTTGGGTTGGTTGGAACAATTGAGCACGCATTGAAATATTCATCATTGGGATGATAGGGGTGATATTTCAAAGGATTTTCCCGCAAAATGAATGTCTACAAATGTTTTGGATCACAAGGAAGAACGCAATTAAAACCCTGAAAGTTAAGATGTCATCCCATGGGATATTCAAGCAGCAATCAATTGGGTTTTGCACGGTACCATCGAACATATGCTACCGATAAACAAAGGATTTCACCAATGAATGGACAGAGCTTTGCCCAAATCTGGAGGATTTGACCCAAAATATGGCCATTTCGCTAGAGAAACACCATTCGATTTATGGGCTGATTGGGCTGCGTCATTCTTGAGCAAAGCCATAGGTCCCTGCAAAGATGGGTGAACTTACCAGGAAACGTGGGATTTATAGATTGGCAGCCTTGATTTCTCCGGAGATTGGCGGGAATTGACCAAGAGCTGGGAACATCAGGAAAAAATCTCTAGTATTCCCCAATAACTACAGGGTTGCTCCAACCCATTCCAGATAAATTGCAGCCACAAGGGGGGACGATTTTACAATTTGTAATTTTTGTTTGTTTTATTTACTTAGCCTTGTGCCATGGGGTGTTGGGAGCCCTTTTTCAAACAACCCATGGCACAATCCTGGTGGAATGGCCGGATCCATCGCTGCGCAGGAGAGCTGGCAGACATCGCGTTCTCTTGGACGGCCATGGGGGTTAGGCGATGCTGAGGACTTCAATGTCGAAACTACGAGCGGTGCCCCAAGGTTTGCCTAAGGTGGTTGAATTAAGTAGATTAGCTATGACTAACAAAAAATTATCTTATATATATATATACATCTATAGTTAATGGGGTTTGAACTCATAAAACTGGGGTTCCATGTTAAATCTAGGGGGTGTAATCATCAGACACGGGACAATGATGGTTTAGCCAACCATCATATGGGGATTAAGCTACCAAAACATGTGCATAATCTCCAAACATATTCAAGCATCCAAACAACTTCAACAAAAACGGGGTCAAACAACTAAACGGTCTAGAGTCTATAGCAAGCAAGAAGATATGGGGTTTAAACACATACCTACTGTTTGCCATCTATGAACGGATGAGATCCCATCCCGTACGACTCGGGGTCCTGTTTTTTTCGGCATCCACCGACAGCGCCAGAGGTGAAACCTGTGGCGCCTGGTTCAAACCAGGAACGAGATGATACCTAGTTGGTTCATGAGATCCCAGATATGTTTGGCATTTGGTAGTTACTTAATGTTACTTGTTGGCTTAATTCAGCTTATTGGGATGTTCTCTATGCCTTTGGTATTAGAAGCCATTTGCCTCGCCAACTTCGCCAACTTCCGAGTTCATCTCTGAAAAAACTCTGCAGAGAAGAGCTTTGTAGGTGATATGCTGGCCAGGTCCGTGTTTGGATGGTCAAGACTTGGTATAGCCTGAAGATTGGGGGGGTTCATCCTTATGTGGGTGTGTCTGAAAATGGGGTATACCACCAAAAAAACATCAACTTGAAGGAGGAACATGATGATTCGGGTTTGGGGAGGGCATGACCTTTATTTTTTTTTATTGCATTTCACTTTATTTGTTTTTGGAGGGGCGACATACCGACATACCTCTTTTGTGTCATGCTAATTGAAGGACAATCGTTTCTTGCGTTTACCCCAACATCGACCTGGTCGCTTGTACAAAGATCCGCAGTGACCAAACATTGGCCGCTGTTTCGTGCAGGGTACCCTGTCACACTGCGCAAAGACAGCTGGGGGCTGGGAAGCACTTGAGAAGACATACCAACACCCAGTTACTCCCACGAAATCTCAATGAATTTCCATTAAATCCTATTATGTATATACATATATATGTATATATATAATAATAATATATGTATATATGTATAAATCCCATTAGACTATTTGCACTGAGAACATTTTCAACTGAAAGCAACTTCCAGACCCCCTTTCGGGACCTGTCAGCCCAAGTTTGGCACTTGAAAACCTACCCCGTTGATCCAGTTGATTTCATCGATTCATTTGGACATAGAAATCGATGAATATAAACACAGCATCTATTTTTCGTCCATTTCTTCATAGTTACGCACTTTAATTCATTCATAAATGATTTATCAATTTCACTTAAGCATCATTTATCAATCATACACCACTTCAATTGATTTAGTATTGAGAATATGTATATATATACATACACACATATATATATAAGAGAAACCTTCAATTCAAGTTGAATTCCCGAAACCCAGGCGAGCCATCTTGTCCATTGAGATGAACATGTTTGTGGGGGAGCCACTGGGCAGTCCGTTGTGGCATGATTTTGGCATAAATCTATGGAATAGGAAGGGCTATAGCATCGATATGACCATCAAAAATGGTGATTTAATGGGATTTATCCAGCAAACCATGGTGATTCAACCAACCAAAATGGAGCTTCTCGTGGGGATTACTAAAAAAATCATCCAGTTAGATGGGGTGAGGAAGACCCAGGTGCTATCCGTTGGCAACTCTCTTTGATGTGACCTTCAGCGTGTTTTTTTGTTTTTGCGGGTTTTGATCTGGAGCCATAGAACACCTTTATATTACCTTTATACTTTCTCTTCAAGCTGCCCATTGAAATCATTTCAGATTGTGAGATTTGGTGGTGGGCCATTGGGACATTTTTCCGACCTTACGAGTTGCAGAGCTGACTTAGTTCGAATCTGAGGTGCTGTTTCCTGATGCTCAGCCGAATGAACCACAGCTGTTTTCCCAACGTGGTGTATATGAGCGACAAGAAGCAACCCGACTGCAGCTGGTCGAAGCCGAAACGTTCCAGGTACGCATCATTTTTGGTCATGTCCCAAAGATTTCAAATATCCCCAAGAGGACATGACTTATTTTTGAGTTTAGGTCCTCATTTAGGTTGAACTTATGCCTGAATTTCTGATTGTTCGAATGCTTATGATTGGCCGTAGTGCCAGCGATCCGTCGCTACTATCCTCACTTATGCACAGCCACGAGGCGAACAGCAAAAATCAATGTCGACTCCAGATTTTTTCCATCTCTGGTTTTTCAGAATTATATAGGAGGGTTACCACCAAAAAGTGGACAAACAATGCCACTAAAATTGCCTTTTTTTTTTGGGCCAAGGGTTCATCAGTCCAGGGCCCAGGGCCCAACTGCCGAGGCAATTCCGGGCTCTGCGCCCGATCCAACGGGGAGAGGAATTGCTACATTCCTATCTGGGAAGGGAGTTCCTGGCCTTGACCTGGGAAATCTGGGAACTGGGGCGTGGGGTTAAAAACCAATCAACACTATTCGGTGGTTTCACAATGGGTTTAAAAGGGTTTGTACATGGAACCACTTTTTTCTGGACCCTGGAACTTTGGGGAAACACGACTTGACCGAAATTCGCCTAGTTGGTTTATGCCAATGATCCACTTTTCATCTCAATTGGTTTCACAATGGGTTTACATAATCTTCGCAGAAAGGCATGAGGATCACGACCTGCGACTTTCCAGGGATGAAGACTTGAAACGATGAGCCAAACGTGGGGATGGCATGGTTTTACCAAGAAAGATTGAAGTCTGGCCAGCCAAATCGGGAGGGCACCCCAAAAATCTGGATAGAATCGATCAAGCGGACCTGGTTAGCACAGGTTTTAGATCCTGAGAATGACCAGCCCTCAGCCTGAATTTGCATTATACTCAAGTGGAACCAACAGCCCTTGAGACCTTTCATCATTCAACAACAAGTGAATTTGGGGATGCAATGGCAAGATTTGGGGAGTAGAAGCCACCTGGAAAAATTCATCTCAACCAGCAACCCAACAGCTGGGCCCCTTTGAGGGTTCACCAGGGTTCCCACAGGGTTCAACTGCTGCAGGCTGCTCCTCCCTACGGAGCTCCGTCGACGCTTGCTGTGGCGCTCCAAATGCTTCGAGTGCCAATGCGAGCGCTGCGTGGCGCAGGACGACATACCCTCTTGTAATTTAACATAGCTATAGAAAATCACCATTATTAATAGGTAAACCATCTATTTCTATGGACCATTTTCCATAGCTATGTTAGTTTAACAGAGGGTAAATTTGGTGACCGATGAATTGACCAATGGTTCCATTGGGTCCCATTGGGTCCCATGGGGTATCCGATGATCTGACCTGGCAGCATCAAGAGGCACTGCTGAAAAATCCCCACTTTTGCTGGTGAAATCTTCATTTTGTGATACCAAGTTTCATGAAATTTCCAGGCTCTCAAAATCCCAATCTTTGCTGGTTTCAGATCAAATGAAACTGGTTGGTGGTTTCCATATGTTGGGAATGATAATCCCAACTGACTTTCATATTTTTCAGAGAGGTGGCTCAACCACCAACCAGTAAATCACATTAAATCCGAAAAAGTGTGGTTTCCCCATTGAGGACCCACGCAACGAACACCAGCCAGGAAGATCCCATGCGCACAGTGGCCTGCAGTTGCTGTGCGGAGATGAAGGAGAAGTACCAGGCTGCTTGACCCATGGGTCAAATTCAGAGGGAATATTCAATGGTGTTATTTTGATCATATACCATATTATATTAGAGAATTCAGAGGGAATTGTAATGAATCATACCATCTGATCAAATATGAACAAATGACTTCTAGTAGAGATATGTGTTGTGGAAATGGTATGAATAAATGATGATATTTGAGCAAGAAAAGATCAAAGGGAGACGACCCGGAACATCATCAAACATGGAGAGACAACACGAAAAACATGAATCATGATTTGATTTTTACAAAGATGTCACACACACACACGCAAAAAAGAACAAATTGGGATACAACCATCAAACAGTAGGATTCTTCGAGCAGACAGATGGCATTGTGATTGAGTCATTGAGTATGGACGATAGCAACTTCCCTAAAAATTGGAGAAGCGTTCCGCAGACCTGAGGGTTAGCAGCTGCAGCAGCATCTTTTTTCGCCATGCCATACTGTACGGAAGCGTATTGTAGTAACATTAGTAACACCAGGTGAGGATGGAACCATATGGAACCAAGATGAAGCAGAATTTTAAGGATTGCGACTCCATAAAAAGATGAGTCTTGGGCGACTTGAATTTCACAGTATCTGTTACGCTTTGAGCCTGGAATCCCAACAAGACAACTCCCAATTCATGGATTAAAATAAATTGATATATATATATATGTTTGCTTATAATAACATTAAATATTCCCCAATATGTTTATAATAATATTCCCCAATTAATGTTGGTAGAGTCTCCATGATCAATCCATGATCCTATTATGGATTGATTACAATTCATACTATTAAATTGGTTGGTACTGATAGTATAGTCTCCATAAGCAATCCATTATATGATCATATTCCCCAACATATATGGAGGTTTCCTAAACTAGGGGTACCCCCAAATCATCCACTTTTTATTCGGATTTTGAAATAAATCATCCAGCGAGCTTGAGGTACCCCCATGACTGTGGAACCCCCATTGAAACCCCCATGTCTGGTGAGTATCATCCCCCTACAACTCCTCAAGTCCCGGCTAGGTGGTCTTTGATCCTGGCATCTGGCTACGAGCTGACCCGAGCCGGGCGGCCGAAGCGGCCGAAGCGGCCGAAGCGGCCTCAAGTCGTTGTGGATCAAAATAGCTACGTAGTATACATCTGTAATAACTGCAATTTGCTGTATAGGTATGGTTTCTGGATGTTTCTGGGAGTTGCTTTCAATATGTACTGATCTTTTTGCTTGAAACTGCTTCTGGGATAATCGATTTCCAGATCTGAGATCTTTTTGGATCTTTTGGCTGGAAGATTTGCTGGTTTCTTAGCAGTAGACACGTCCCCAAAATTAGATTACACCCCGCCACCCCACACCCCCCTCCCAAACCACCAAAGATGCATTTCATGCGGTTTTCTACCAGCCCGACACCTTCTTAGCAGAATGGTGTCTCCAAACCTACGTCAACATCGGAGAATCTGCTTGGATGTGGATTGATTGTCTTTCGTTGTTGATTCGTTTGGGGCAAGATGTTCCTTTCCCCTTCCAACATGTTCCACTTGCTTGCCGCCGATCATCTTGTTAATTAATCTTGTTAAAGAGTTTCAAATAAAACATCGCATGCCGCAAAAAATCTACCTAGTGGCGGTAAACGCGCCCATGATTTTTATACAGCAAAACATAGCAAAACTTATAACCAGTTATTTATAATCCATTTTAATTGTATGGGATAAGCCACTTCCCACATGGGACGATCGAGGCCTGCAAGGGAAGCAGTTGAGCTTCCTTACAGTGGGAACTGGCCTTCAGGTGCCATGGTGGGTCCCAGGTTCAAAATGACAAAATGATTGATGAATCAAGACTGAAACATTGGCCAAACTGGCCGATTTTTTGGTTCTATTTGATTGGTGTCCCTACTCTTGGAGCCATTGATAGATACATGATATGGATTGATATGGACTCACACAAGACGATTTGGCTTGGTTTGGGAGAGAACATCAATCGGAGTCCGTTCATCAACAAAACCATCATAAATCATACCCTCTGGTGAACTAACATAGCAATGGAAAATCACCATTTTTAATGGGAAAATCCACTATTTTCAATTGCTATGTTAGTTCACCAGAGGGTAGTCATTGGAGTCAGAGATGCAGTTGGTGAGTCTCACTGTCTTCTCAGCTTTAGGTATCGACCAAGGTTGGATGCCTGGATTGAGTTTTCCTTCTTTTTGCGGCAGGTGTAACACCACAAAACAAACCCTACAGGTTTTGATCATGAAATGTTTATTGTCTGAAGAAAGCCATGCCTTCATGGTTTGATTCGGGTCCTAGAAGCTGCAGCTTCGCTGGCTGTGGATTGAAGTGAATCGGATGGTGCTCACTGGTGCTACAACAGAACTGGCCAAAGCTGTTGTTTTTGCCAGACTTTTCTTCAGTAGATCCACCTTTGGTGACAGCTTTTCCCTACCTGTGACTACTTTTGCGGCGGTGACTCCTGCGGATTTGTGCAAAAATAAGCCAGTCCATCTCATAGCAAAGATCGTCATGTTCCCATCAATGCATCTGGTCGTATAAATTGGTGGGTCCCTCATTTTTGGACGAATCCGGTGTCCATAATGTATTGGTGAACCCCCTGTGCTTGATGATGATGTCCCAATGTTGGTTGGTTGAATCCCAATCGAGAGACTCCTGTGTTGTTGTCAATTTTCATTTTTTGCATTGTTTTTTTCTTACGTATTCCCCATAATTTTATGGTACAACGGTACAACCATAATTTCTTTTTTGGTCTGCATGGGCAATGCCTGCCAGAAGTCCCGTGGGGCATCAGCGCTCAGCGCAGGGGAAGGGTGTCATGAAGAACAATTGGTTGCAGGTTGAGGCGGAGCCTGGGAAAACAGCAGGATGAATTGAAACCTCATATGAACATCTCTTTGCATGCGTATATTACTGTATATAAATATATATATATACAGTATATATATATATAATATTTTTATATCTACATCTATGTCTGGAAGATGTTGAACGGGCATGTTCTTCTCCAGTTTTCCTGTGCATATGCCATCTCTGGATCTCATGACTCTGATGCCCACCTTTCATCCTTGCGGAGTTTGTCTCGCCGTGATTCGTACGAACAAAGTCAGGGAGTGCAGACCATCACCGGCAAAACGATACAACACCATCATCCTTCTCAGTTTGAAGCTTTGAAATATCATCCACAACTTTCCTTTCTTGGAGTGTGAATGGGCAGCATCTGCACCTGGGTGTGATCAAAACACTTCTGGCTTCCCTCAGTTTCTGTCGAAAGAGTTGCTGGGGTACTGTTTCCCAGGTACATGAGACATGACATACCTACTCGACATACCTAGTAGATCCTAGTACATACACCTCCTAGACAGACTTTGCCCCTGGCTCTATGCTCATGTTCGAGGCAAGGGAATTCCGAGACTTTCATCATCCTTGGTGACATATCCCCGCAAATATCGCCATAAAATATCCAAATCATATCCCCGTTTTGGATGGTCAAATCATCAAATCCCCTTTTTTTCTTGGGTTAAATCCCATTCTGATGGTTGAGTCCAAATTTCAGGTCGTTAAGTCACCATTTTAGATGGTTAAATCACCACTCTAGACGGTTATATAAATCCACATGTTGGATGGTTTTCTGTCCCAATGTTAGATATTTAAATCACATTAAATCACCATTTTCGTCGGTTAAATCAGTTAAAT